GAGTATGAAGATTTCTGTCTTCTGGGTTGTTGCGCTGTGCAGTCTGGTCGATGTTAACCAACGTTTCGGAGGTCATACTGCCTCCGTCATCAGGGCGATGACACACCATTCTGCTTATGCAGCTCGCACAGCTCGCTTCTTATCGCTTACGTAGGACATTGCCTTAGAAACTGACTGACTCTCTCTTGTAGAGGTTCTACCTTCAGTTGTGAGAATTCCCTGTTGTTGTGCAACTCAAATGTTTATCACTACCAGCTCATCAGCCTACCGCTGAACTTTCCTCTTGGGCAGTGCAATTGATTTCACATCTTCCTTTTTCTGCCTAATTTGAATTTACAGATGTATTACTCGTAAAATAAAAATAGTGCAGCCATATTGATTCACGGCCCCAAGGAGAACAGAACAAATGTGTACTTCAGAGTTCTAGCAAGACCTGAATCTTCTTATAAATAATTTTCCTGATATGTAGCAAATTATTACGAACAATAAAGTGCATTCGCATTTGTTACCAGAGCAATTATGAACGTTTCTTCTGTAACTACAAAAAGGGGTTATGTCACTCTTGTAACATCATCTGAAATGTGCTTTTTAAGGTTCTTTTAATTCTTCACGCAAATCACTGGAAATGAATTATAAAGAAACAAATTTGAGATCATATTAGTATAAAGTTGTTAAAATATGGCAGTCTTTATATAATACTGCCATAGAGAGAGAGAGGAATTATAAACATGCAATACAGAAGAGCACAAATGTGGATAAAGTATTAAATACTTAAAGCAAGAACAGAGGAACTGTTCCATCTAGGTATCGCAACGTCAATAATTCCGCTGAGAAACAGAACAACTTTTGTAATTCAAGTATATCTGGACCACCTAATAACAATTATTACTGAATTAATTATACTGGAGATGCCATCTTTGAACTCACCGCCGTGAAAATTACAAATCCTACTTAAGTTATAGTACTGGAATTATTGAACATTGTGGCCAAGTGGTTAGCATCCCTGCTTCATAGTCAGGAGGTCCCAGGTTCAAATCTCAGCCTGTTCCTCAGTCCCCAGTACATTAAGACAGGCTACAACCACTTCCTTACATATCCTTTATAATTCATTATTCATTAATCATTCCATCATCCAATGACATATAATCAAAGCTGCTTACAGCGTCAATAAATTAATTAAATACTTCATACTTCACTCCCAAACAAGAACAATATTAAATAATGAAATTCAAGCTTACAAATTTAGCATAATAAAATATTTGTATCTTAATTGCGTCATGTTTGTGTTATATCAATACATATATTTATTTTTCCAGTCTATACACAAAACTTGTTTTAAAATAATGTTGTTAAAATTATTTATAACTGTTGCAGTTTATCGTCTGTGGATATCAGACGTCCGACACATCACAATACAACCTGATAATGAACATCAAAATGCATACTCAAAATCAAGATGAAGACTGAAAATTAAAAATCAATAAACGTAATGCACAAATGTACAATAGTTTTTAAAAAAGCCTGATGATGATGTGGTAAACATCGAAACATGTCGTCGAAATCAAAAAGCGCTGAGATAGATGTAATATTATACGACACAGAAAAGCGTCATAAAATATAACATAATGCAATTTATATTGTAAATGTTATAAATAATCTTAACAACATTATTTTAAAACAAGTTTTGTGTATAGACTGGAAAAATAAATATATGTATTGATAATAAAATATCTTTCTTCTTTGAGCACAGTACAAAAACAGATAATGCCTGAAGAGACAAGTCTTAATTAACAAAATTTGAGATAATTCTTGGAAGTGACACCCATAAAATGCATGCACAATTTTGTAACATCTATAAGATACATTTTATAAATAAATAAAGTAAAGGAAATTCATGTCATGGCCTGGTAAAGAAGATAAATAATATATTGCATGAATCGTGATCGCCTGCATACTCACCGATTGGTATATCATACATTTCTTCAATGTGTTTGCTGTTATTGGGTGACCCTGGACTTGGAGGTTTAGCGTTACCATTTATCTGGGCCCCGGGAGAGGGTGAGAGCTTTGGTGAACCTGCCGATGGTTTATTGTCAGTAGTAGTTGTGGTAGTAGAGGTCGTGGTGGATGTGATGGCTAGATCAGAGTTAGGTTGGGGAGTAGTGGGGGTTGTGGGGTTATCATCAGCTGGAACACACAACACAGAAAGACACACCCATATCAAAACTGTCAACACATGCATTTTGACTTTCTGGTCTGTTTAAAAAAAAAAATTACAAACACTTGGTTTCGGATTAATTTATGTTTCAATTCCAAGGTTTGTTATATTCAAAATATATGACGGCATTTTTTAAGCTCGTATCATACTTTTGAAATATAATAAAAAATTATAACGTCTGTAAATGATGTAACGCTATCTTAAAAATAGAATTTAATGTATAGAGTGGCACATAAGTTGTGTTAACAACACTTTAAACTTCGAGTCTTTGCTATTAATACTAAGTTATCTGTTTATATCAAGTACAGTTGTTTGTTAAACTTTGCATTTTTAATGCTCCCTAGCAGATAGAAAACTACAATAATAATAATTATTGAATTAATGATGATACTGGAAGTACCATCATTAAATATCTCAGATTTCACTACAATAAAACCAATAACTTCCATGGCACAGAACTTCACTTAACGTTCATCAACTGATCAGAAACTTGTCAGATTACAAATCAATGAAAAAACTCAAAAGAACAAGTATTCCATGCAGATAATTTCAGCTTTTGTTGATAAATTCTGAACTCTTTAATCCACAGGCAAAACTATCCCTAACCTCAATAAACCATTTCAAGAATGTAACCACGTAGCTGAGCTAAGAAGAAGTGAAATACTGACATCGACATACAAATTATTGCACAAACTTTTGCTCAGTCTCATTTGAAGTCAACAAGAAACAATTCCAACAAACTTGTGACACGGCAACGTTGCTTTCAGCGATAGCTAAATCTCTACAGTTCTACAGCGCTAAAATTTCCAAATGAAGATGGTCCTAATACAGATGAAATTCTGAGAATGACAAGCATCGTTGTAGCTGTTGAAGATGGAGGTTCTTATTCCAGCTCCCGCCGCCTGTGAAGTGCGGTCAGTGATAACGCTCGGCCGCACACGGCTCGACGGACAGCGAGTCTCCTGCAGGAGTTCAGCTGGGAGGTGTTTAATCATTCACCCTACAGCCCGGATCTCGCTCCCAGTGATTTCCATCTTTTCCTACACCTCAAGAAATTTCTGTCCGGTCAGCGTCAGCGTTTTGAGAATGACAGAGAGGCGGAGATGGTTGTCACACAGTGGTTCCAATCCCAGGCGGCAGACTTCTACGACACAGGTATTCAAAAGTTGGTCCCACGGTATGACCAATGTCTCAATTCCGGTGGCGAATATGTTGAAAAATAGCTGGACACTTGCTGTATCTGTTGCAATAAATATTTCCATGAAATTGTGTTTTGTTTCTGTAAACGGCCCCAGGGAAACTGACTTTGAGGACGCGCCTCGTACATGAGGCTAATCATTAAGAATTTCCCGCGGACAGATCAAGTTGTAGTAGAATGGAAAATCAACACAACTGCAAGCACTGAAGTGATGGTCTTTTCACTCATCTGGTATGTAAAAAATGTGAGACCTTGAACACAAACACAGATCTACGTGGAGCTGTCCAATATTTATGTCTATTCAATATGATGGAAAACGTGGGATATTCATAATCTAACATTCATTTTATTATTTGAATATTTATTCACAGAAAATAAGGAGTCTAGATTAATTACGACAAGGAAACTTATGTGGCACCCTATATTATTCAATTCAATAATAAGAAAAATAACAAATTTGCAGTTGCATACTACATGGAAGAAGTTTCCTCATGATCCAAACAATTACCACTGTCATCAAATACAAATTGTCTGCATTGAAAGCTGAAATCCACAAAGCTTTGCATTAAACTATGGTTTTTTTACAGGGGGTTTATCAAGATACTTACCAGAATCTTCACCTGGAAAAAAAAAAAAATATGGGTCACATTATAACAGCCATAATGTGCCTCATGAGGTCTAATTAAATTGGTAAAAACTGTCTTCTGAAACTGAACAACTTGTATTTCCATATTTCAGACTTGTAACATTTCATATATCTCACCTTCCACATGCAAACTAGGAACGCTCCATTACGTCCGAGTTGCATCAAGCTCTGACGTAAAGAAAGTTATTCAAACTGGAATGGTCTGTTTACAAGTAATTTTCATGTTACTAATATTACTTCATCTGCAAGTTACAGCTCTCAATGGTAGCAAAAATGTGACAGATTACTAACTGTCCGTCTTCTTCCATATAGCACGCCGTTATTTTAAGACAGCGCCATTTTGTGAACACTTCTTATATTCCTATTTAAATGAAAAACCAAACATTTTGTGAACAGACCAGCAAAATCTATTTTTTTTCTCAGTTTAAATTAATTATTTAACAACAAATACACATATTAGTGTTTACAACATTATAAAAAGCATTTTGTTGTTAGAAGACAGGAAAGAGGATGGCTTCATCTGAACGTTCAAAATGCAGTTAATACACGTAAGTATAAAACCAACACATATAACTTTTGTAAGCTGTTATTTAAATTAAAATTAGAAGCAGATATACTAACGATGCAACGTAACTGTGTAAGAATCACACCCCTGAATGCCTCCTTAGACTAAACTGTAAGCAAATTAGTCCACGCTATAAAGAGGAGAGTCTCTCATTTTATGATTGTCCAGCCAACGAGTAATTTACGATTCGCTATGAATTTTTACCAAATTCCACTTAAACCACAATATAAATTAATTATTACACAAGTCTTTGTTATTGCAATATATTGTAAAAATTCAGAATTTATATATTCATGAACCAGAGATTTTAATCCCGCTTGTCAAGTCATGATATTGCTTTATTACGTAAATGTATACTTTTAAGTTATCTGAAATTATGACTGTAACATTTTTCAATCTGCGTAATCAGAATTTCAAAACATAAAACAGATCTACATGCACGTATCCGATTAAATTACGGTTTGTTAACATTCATGCTGCTAGCTACATTACTGCGATCAAAGGTTATCGTAACATAGCTCGATACAGAATGCTGCTCACCTGCTATTGATATAGGAGATGATGGCGCACTTGAAATTATTCTGAAACACAATCATCACAGATGTTTCACTCGTTAGTTTGAATGCAAAGACACGGAAAAGATATAACAAAAAGGATCCAATACATGACAAAATCATTATGGAATACTGAAATATGCACAGCAATCATTAACAATACGCCTTCAACTGTGTTTATTGTCAAAACAACAACAATTTCATTCATATTTTCTAGCAGAGTGCCTGCACTTTTACTGCAGGGAAATTTGAGAAATGTTAACATTTTGAAATTTGTTTTATAACATTTAGTTTATTTGTCTTCAAACAATCATCTATCACAATTAAATTTCTCTATTAAAAAAAAAATCTTCACCACGACTCAAAACTGAGGACCTTTTTTTAAGTTTGTGAGCTTTGTTACTTCAGTCCCCTTGCTGAAAAAATGTTGATAAAATGTACGTTCTTCCTTTGAAATTCTTTTGAAGGTATAGAAAACCATCTTCACTGGGATTCAAACCCATAACATTTTTTTTCAGGGTTATGGCCTTTGTTCCTGTAAACCTCCTGTTGAAACAAACAACTCTCTTCCTGGTCTCAAGGAATAAGCATGTCATATTTTGTGCAAATTAGGTTTTTGTTTTCAAGCTACAAGCAAACACACACATAAACACAATTTCAATTGTATATTTAAGCTACAATAGAAATAAGACATACTTTACCTCTTCTATGAAAAAAAAGTGGAACGCTTAATGTGCCTTATGTGCAGATACGAGGTGCGATCGAAAGGTTTCCAGACTGCGCGTATAAAAACCTGTACACTTATCTCAGGTATTAAATTCATCCATCGCCCTCGAAGTAGTTCCCCTGGGAGTGAACACAACGATCCCAGCGCCGCTGCCAAGCCTGGAAGCATCCCTGGAAATCTTTCTTTGTCAGCCTGTCAAGCACCATCTGCGATTCTGCCTGAATCTCTTCTATCGTCTCAAATCTCCTTCCCTTTACCTGAATTTTCTTCTTTGGGAAGAGGAAGAAGTCACACGGAGCTTAATCTTCGTAACTTTTTCGGGCGTTGTGCTCGAAGATGGTCGTCCAGAACGCTCGTCATAATCGCCAGAGGTTCGGCCATTTTTAAAACGTGAATGCCACACAAAAGTTTGCGGACTCCCCAAATGCTTGCTTTAGCATTTCATAGGTTTCCGTAGCGGTTTTGGCGAGTCTTTGGCAAAATTTGATGCACACTCTTTGTTCATTAAAATCGCAGGAGGGTCGGTGTAATGCACTACCAAAACGCCCGTAACTAAGAAACAAATGCTAATTCGATGATGCCGGCTGGCACACTGATTCACTATGAATGTAGGCCGCACCCCCTAGCGACAGAAGCTCGTCCTACTTCCGGTTCGCCCTCTATTGACACAGTCTTGAAACTTTCCGATCGCACCTCGTACTTCCATACCCTACTTATCAGCAGTACTTTGTGGGAACAAATTTGATTTTGCTACACACCGCTATTACAGTAATACCCACGCAACGTCGAAGTTCGCAGGCACAGACAACGCAACCACTGCTCACCGTAGACCGACAACGAAAACCTCAACACAGGCCAGTGGGCACTGAGCTAAGTAACTCGGTTTAGATAATACACCAACTCTTGTGCAATTAATGTCAAGTTTGGTGTTACACGAGTATGGTTTTATGAAGTGCGACATTTTACGCTTTATAACAAACCATCATCGTCTTATGAACTGTACGAATTAATTTGTTTGCCACTGACGGCCTCTTGAGGTCGATATGCATTTGGCGCAAAGTGTATTTTCGAAGTGTAAACAGTTTTGTTTGCATGCGTGATATGCGAGGTTTTAAGACCACATTTTACGTACTGCAAAAAACTAACATCTCAATAGAGCTGTCCATATCAATACTTTTTCCAGTCTTATAATTCTTGTCGACTTTGGTCTCCAGCATTCCAGAATTCCAGAATTTATTTATTTTTTCAAGTGAAGTACCTAATTCTACATACGCATGTATCGTATGACGTACTTACTTGCTATTGCTTATTGGAGACTTGGGAGACTGAGGAGAACTTTTCTTAAGGGTGTACGTGCCACGCTGGCAATCCGTGGCCAGTTTGTCTACTATCGCTTCCAGTTCTGCATATACCTGACAACACCAAACAAATTAACAAGGACGTAGTAAAACCCACCACATTACTTTTCATAAGAATACAGTACATTATTAAATCAACGAGCAATCAAATTACTCAATGGGTCAGTGGCTCTCAACAACAGGTCTACAGATCATTTCAAACACCTAAATAATATTTAATAACAAATAGAAAAAAATTATTATATCTAAACAAATTAATGAAAAATATCTTATATATGAATATTAGAGCATGGGAATAAAAAATCTTCGTGCAATTTGCTTCAAATCTGAAATTAAAATTAAATGAAACAATTGTACCAACACACACACAAATAATATTTCAAAAGTATTTCCTATGAAATTTATAATTAATTTTTCCACCTTCATATACACAAAAAATTTATGCAGAGTTTACTTTAAATCTGTGTAATTTCTTGAGAATTATACACAGAATAAAGGCTCGACTTTAAGGCCGAGGACTATTGAGATGGACGGTAAAGTTTGCATGCCATACAACTTCTTACATACGTTGAGTCTGTTGTTTAAGGAGGCAGAGACAACGGTTAACACCTTCTTAAGAGCTTTGGCACAGACAGATCTGATGTTCTCCTTCAGGCCAATTCTCATCCTTGGTTTTTTGTTGAAAATAATGCTCTTAAGACGATCCCACAAAAAGAAAAATAAACTTCGATGAGCGGGATTAGCCAACACTGCACTAATAAAATACAGAATCGCTACATTTTTCTTCTTAAATTTACCTTCAGTTCTCATTTCCTACACACACACTTTCTATAAAACATTTTAATACCATTTCTTTCAGTTCTTTGTAAAAACTAGAAAAGTTTGTGTGCGTGCATAATGGTATGAACGAGATACACGAAGAAAGCTCTGCGTAGTTTGTATCCATAATACTGACAAACGACACAGAGAGTACGAACATTAACTTTATTTTAACACGTAAGATTTGACCTGTGGTAAAGGGATGCTCGAAGATGATAAAACATAATAAGTCAATATGACCAACATGGATAAAGCTGAAGATTTCCGTCTTCTGGGTTGTTGCGCCGTGTAGTCTGGTAGATGTTTAACAACGTTTCAGAGGTCATACTGCCTCCATCATCAG